AATAAATATAGCATAGCTTATATCTTGTTATTATTTTTTTGAAGGCTTCTAACTTTAGCAAAGTTTTTTCTTGCAATCAGAACGAAGAGTTCCTAAGCATATTCTTGAGAATTAAGAATCTTAGAGGCAAAAATAAAAGCACTGACTTACTCTCTTTTATTTGAGAAATTATCTCTTTTACATTTGTTGAACTCGTACAAAAAGCATTTAATTGCTTAAACAAATTTTGAACAAAAATTTCTTGGACGGCCAAAAGCAAGACTTTGTTGTATGGTGATAGAGATCGGTAGGTTATTTAAAATACTTAATATATTATTAGTAGGGGCTCTACAACAGAAGTGTAGGACGATGCTGATGTTTCCTAATGCGGCGAAATCAATAGCACAATGACTCTAAACTTAGGTGACCATATTTTTTTGGCAAAATCCGGGACGGTTTGTTTTTCGTCATCGATTTTTCCATATTATAGTTCACTGAAAATGCGACACATAATAGGTGAGAGAGCAACACAATTTTATTCAATTTCTTTCCTTTTTTCTTTCCTTCAAACAAATTACCTTTTTTTATTGTTAAGTCCAGGACGGCGGGGACGCATAACTCGGAGTCCGAACTGCCCCGGCCAAACCAGGACAAATGGTCAGCTAACTCTAAACATACCCGTCAAAAATCTAAAAAAAGGGTTCTAGAATCAAGCAATCGAGCTCATGCTGTAAAATGAGCTGTCCCAGTCTCCAGATCTTAAACCGATTGATAATATATGGTATGAAGTGAAAAAAATATATTATATTTAGAAACACCAATAACCATATGGGTTTGTTCAAGATTAGTAAAAGCAAAATTTTTAGAAACAATAAAAAAGTTAACCGGCACCGAAACAATAATATCCTTCACAGGTGCATTTATACAGCGATCTCCACTAAAACCCAAAAAAATTTCCATAAACTTAAATGATAATTTTGTAGCTGTAGTTGAATTCTATTTTCAGTTTATTGAATAAAAAATAATTAGGTGGAAATAAAGGGTCGTAGACAATGAAATCAAACAACCCATCATAGTGCTATAATTTCTCCCGACACTATACTCGTATTTACGTGCACTTCTGCCAAGTAAATTTTTTTTCAAATACTACAGTGTTACTCACCTACTTATGTACAGATGTTTTTAGTGTTTTTCTACAGCATTTCGATACCGTTACGTAGCCGATGTGATGAAATGACACTAAAAATAAAATAAATCACTCATTAGTTTATTGCTAGTGTGATTACTACTTAATGATATATAAAAATACAATCGAAATGTATAAATACTTTTAATTGGCAACCAATTTTTTGGCTAATTTTCTCAGTTGAATGTCGAAAACTTTAATTATAGTTTTAAAAGTAATACGACAAGTAAAAATAAAGCAAACAGTGGTGAAATTTTAATTTAAGTAAAATATACCCGATAAAATTAAATCTTATTACGATAACTCATATAAACACCGATAACATATAGTATAAAAAAATACTTATAGTAAAAAATGTGGACCAATTTTATACTGCTATTTAGTTAAAAAGGAGAAAAAACGTTAACATCGGCTGCTATAATGGTCCGACCTGAATAATTTTTTTTGGAGATTGTAGCATTCTCTTTAACAATAATCTGTGCCATATTTCGTGAAGATATCTTGTTAAATGAAAAAGTTTTTCGTGCAAGAACTTAAATTGAATCGATCAGTTTCTATGGCATCGGCGGTTTCGAGAAATGAGCAGCTTGTTCGGTAGAATAAGACGTGTGCAAAATTTCAAATCGATATCTGAAAAACCAAGGAACAAGTCCGTGTATATACAGACAGTTGGCCATTACTAAATCAGTTCAGCTTGCTGGTCCTATTCATATATACTTATGGGGGTCACCCACTTATATCACTTTATGGAGTCTCCCAGCTTTCTATCTGGGGGTTACAGATCTTACAGCAAACTTAATATATCCCACTCGGGTTATTGTCTTAGTAATTTCAATAATATATCTTAAATATTGACCAATATATGCAATATTAAATCTAGGGATATATATTTCCTCACCTAATTGTACCGAGTTCCGTTCATTGTGGCATGTGGCATATTGTCAACGAAAGAGACGAAAATTAATATATTCGGTGTAGGGGAACTATAGAGGGACATGAACCGATCTTAATGCTTGTAAAGCAAAGCCGATAGGATTGAGTTTTGACATGTTAATCAAATTAGGTGTAGTCGGGTACGCTACTTCCCATTTTTGAACGGTGAGAATGGGTTATGAGAACGCTATACATTGATTGATTTTGATTGATTTGTGGTCCGGTTTTTATTCTTGATTCATATGAAATAATAAAAACTCTTCCCTTTTTTCTTTAGTGGAGCTCTACTTCGAATTTCTCCTTCGTAACCTACTGAATTATAAAAGCTTTAATCTATATGATTAAAATCATTTTTGTATGTGATCCAAAATATTCGAACCAAGTCTGTGCTTTCGAATGCAAATAGATATAAAAACAGACATAAATTGTAGAATGAGAGATTAGAGCAGTGCTTCTCAATTGCTAGCTATCAACAGTAAGTGAAGTTCACGCAGGAAGAGAAAAGCTAAAAACCTACAGAAGAAAGCAAAGGTGGGAACGTCAGAAGTTGAGAGAGCTAGGTGTAAAATTTTTGTTAAAGTATAAAAGAAGGAAATTGAAAAAAAAAAGAGCCAAGAAAGGGAATAGGAACACATAAAGAAAGAGGACATATAATATAATATAAATAATTAAAATTATTCTTAGAACAGAAAGTGGCCAACAAACGATGTGAAGTATCAAAAAAATAAGCCAGCGAAACTTCCAATTTTCTAAACATTCGAACTTCATAACTAAATATGGCATATACATACATATATACATAGAGAAGCTTAGGGAAATTGTATTAACTAACTTTACTCAATCTATCAAGAAGCTTGTGGGAAAGATGTAAAAAATATTGACTTCGGCTCTGTATTATAGAATATTAATATCTTAAGGGGTTACACATATGTATGTACTTGTAAATTTCAAAAAAATCGATATTTTATTTTGCACATATGTATATCGAAAGTATATACACATATTAATGAATATTCTCCGAAAATTTTAAGTTGATCAACATAGCCAGGTTAACAAGTATGAACGTATTTGTAAGAACTTTTAAACTTATGGAATCGGCTTCCAAAACCACCAACAATACCACTGAAGATGTTTAAGAAAATACTTAAAGAAACTTTCAGTACCGAGCAAAATTCTACCTAAAACACAATTCATTTATAAGCAGAGGAGAATCCCTGGAAAACCCCTGCAAATTACGAACAATTACTTCCCTTTTAGGGAGATTCCTTGGTAAAACCCACGCTCCCTTCATTTGCACTCGTAATTACGGACATTCAATGGAATACTCAACTCAAATACAATGTACACAAATAAACACAATAAATTCCGTATAAAAGGGGATTCCTAGGTAAAACCCAGAAAGCAATAAAGAGCCAGCGATATCGACAGCAAAGACCTTGTAACAAGTGCACTATGTACACAGGTAAACATACAAACAAAGAGGAATGCGCGTATGCGAGTGTGTGTGAATACATTTGCGCTAAAACGCGCTGACCTCAAGCACTTGACCCGAACCCGCCTAGTGCAGCTCACATATACACAAACGCACGCGCAAACTCGCTTACAGTATGCCACAAAGCATTGTTAATCCATTTAACGTCAACAAGCAGGCTGCAATAACAACAAAGCAGCCAAGCAATTTACTATAGCACACATACACAAACGTATATATGTAAAGACAATGCTAAGAGCATAAGGAAAAAGAAGAAGCGCAAAATGTGTTAAGTGCACTTAGCCCTTTTTACCTGCTCGCCAAAGGTGCTGAAGAGCAGCGTGAAGCGTTAATAAAATAAGCCAAATACAAATTATATGGAATTTTGTGGCGGCAAAGTGTGAGGGGCCAGTGACACCGCTAGGTAGTTGCATGCAACAAGGTACTTGACAGTTATTCAAGTGTGTTTACCTTCATCTGCGCAACTATCTTTTTCGGAGAGGTGTTAAAAACGGTGCTCATCGGCTCTTGGCTAAGGGTGAGTTATTTTAATGCAAGTGCTCTTGTACGGATCGTGAGATTATCTCTTTGATATATTGATTTAACTGGTGTTGGTTTTTGCTTACGTACATACCTATGCAGTTGTTTTTGTAGATAAGTACAAGAGATTGTTGTGAAAGTAACACCTCAATGCTAATCATAACAGTATTATAACATAGAGAGAGCATTTTCTACTTCTCACTCAGAGCAGAGAAGTTGACACTGTGACGGATTTTTTTTCTACTATTGTTTGGGACTTTTGTAGTACTTTAATATCTGGTCTAGGGACTTGTAAGCTTTATTTTATTCTCGCTGGCATGGTCGTAGTATCAGCGCAAGCTTAACTGGGCCAAAACTATATTTCGAATGCAAAATGAGCTATTCGTGACCTGTATGAATCCACTTCTAAATTTTCTACTTCAATTCCTCGACACTTTCTTCAATTAGAGCGTGAAACTTGCGGTTTACTGAGATTTCGATACAAGCTCTGTTTATTTGGGGTTTTTGAAGTAACATGTGTTCCTCGACGAAAGTTTTCTTTCTGAAAAGAAAAACTAAATTCTAAATTTCATCCACAGATCAAAACAGACTTTATTGACAATAAGTTGTCAAACAGATTTTTGGCTGAGAAATAGTGGTGGTTCCCATCAAAATAAAAGAGAATATTTCCTATCAAAGATTATAGCGCAGCAGGCAATGTCAGACCTACCTTTGCGAGTGTTTATGTCATGAAAGTAAATTTCATAAATTCTATCAGCTATTCGGAGATAAATTAAAAATTTAAGCCCTAAAAGGGTGGATGGAGAACTTAGTTAAGCACCTAGCAAAGAAGTATCATAAGCTTTAGAAAAAAAGCTACAGAGTCCTTAACCACTTTTAAAGAAATCAGCTCTTTCAATTCAGTAAGAGCCAGAGTCTATTATCTTTTAAATAAACGTCTTCTTACTGCATAAAGTATTGTAAATACTTTTGAGGTCATAGTTTATCTTCTTCTAGTAGTACCAGCACAAGATATTTTACACAAACAAAAATAAAAGTATAATATCAAGAACTTGCCTGAGATAAGCCCGAAGCCCGTATATCCACTTAGAACACTAACCTCAGGATTATGTTCGCCCAGATAAGATGATTCACAGCATGTGCTCACGAAAAAAATATTTTTAAGTAATCAAATTTCTTCGATAACTTTCAAAACTTCTTAAAAATACTTGGAATCTTCGGAGTAAGCTTTCTCAGTTGCTTGTTGAGAGTAGAAGTCAATTATTTCAGGCAATAATTGCAATACCGTAGGAGATACATTTCTGATATGAGGTAAATGCACGTTTAACTAGAGTAAGATTGTTCCAATTTTATTTTAAAGGTTAGTACTTCTAAGAGCATTGTATTCACAATTTTCACAAGGTCAAGGAAAACTGGATATATAAAGGGGTTCAAGCACACGCTGAAATTTTTCTATTTTCCTAGACCACTGCGGTTTTTTCTCTGCTCACATACCGACGAGAGAAATGTGGACGAGGTAAAGTCGCTGAAGCAGAGGCGCAATGAGCTTTTTCACGGATGTTGTTTATGTAGAAGTGGTTGTTATTTGGGCAGTATATGTACTGCTCCAAAATTCAGAGTCTTTCAGGGAAGTGAGCATTTACTCCGGCGAGCAGCCTTGCCCCATTCACATCGAAATAGGCACAAGTTGAATCTCCGTTGTAATCTTACATTCTAGCATTAGACCTATGGGGCTCGTGTGCGCTTAGCAGGCGTTGGTTCACGGTGAGTTTCTGTGCGACTGCAAGATCCTTTTGAAATCAAGTAGAATGCAGGAGATCTACTCAACTATTTGCCCTCAGCAAAGTTCATCTTGCCGCAATCGTATAAGTTCAAAATATCTTATATATAGTATGATCAACTATATAAGATATCACAGCGGACCGATTTTCAGAGCTTTCCAAGTGAGATCGCTTTTTAGAATTTCTGCTTGAAATCGTGTCAGTATTTCAAGAACTCGATCATTGAAGGCAGTCTAAGCTTACTTAATACATCCTCAAACTTTGCAGGTATAGTCGAGTGTTAAATCACAACGGCTTAAAGGTCAACTGTAGTGACCCAGGAAGTTTAAGAAGTTGAGAATTATTCTCAAAAGGGGGAACGCTTTACTCCAATTGGGCAGAGACTATTAAATCTTTTGATTGAGACACCTATAAACACATACTCGTAGACATCTCTTCAGGAAACATAATGAAGCGCAGCGATCAATTGAAAACTCAATTTGCGCGAAATTCCAATGAATCTCCACTTCACCAATAAAAGCAAACCACAAAAAAAATAACAATTTACAAGCAAGAAACATAAAATCCAATCAAATCATTAATGATTTCACTATATTTTTTTTCTGCATGTACACAACAATAAGGTAATAAATAAACGAATAATTTATTTTCCGCCAGTGGCCACAGACAAGCGGCGCGATCAACCTGATTGTGTCGAAGCGATTGCCCAGTTTGGTCACTGATCGGCAGTGAATGCCAATGATTGGCAATAAGCAAGCAATACACTGCCATAGATATAATTGTGTATGTGTGTGCGTACGTGTGTGTGAAGGCAAACAGTTTTTAGGCGAACAAAGTTGTTAAAATGCGTGGACCAGAGGTAGAGCGCGGCGACAGCAACAATATTGGCGAAGCAAGTCGAGCAACAGCTGTACGCCGCAGACGGCATGAATTATGCGCGCGCATGTGTGTGTGAGTGTGTAAAAGGCTTGTGTAGAACTGGCAAGTGCATAATAAGGAGCATGGCAACAGCTTACAAGCAACAACAATTACAACAAACACATTATCACAACGCGTCAACACAAATCGACACACGCTGAATGTGGTACAGCTTTGCGGCGGCAAAAAATGCGGCCACAGTCAATCCGCAAGCAGTCAGACAACGCGCGGCCGATAATCAACGACCCGGGCCACGGCAACAGTGCGCGCATACACAGCCGTACTTGCGCGCACATATGTAACAGCATGTGCAACACATAACTTGTTGGCGACGCAAGTCTGCGAACACAATTCCACCACCAATCTACCGTGCGCGCCCCGTACGCGCAACGTAACGCATACAAACTGAGTTAATAGAGGTGCGGCAAGAAACCGGTGAATGCGTTAAGTGTGCGCCACAATGGCGATTCCCAAAACAACAACAATACCAACAAATATTGAGATCACAAGAAAAGTTGTTATAAGCGATCAAACAAAAAGGTATTAAAAAAAAACGAACATTGTCGGCAATAACACCAATTTAAGCGAACGCGCCGCGGGCAATGCACACCTCCGTCGCCAACATTTATTTACAGACACGCCAGCGCACTGCGCACTGACATTCCCAATAAAATGTGCGCATACATACTCACGTGCTCAGACGCACACACTTTTTACTTGCGGTCGCAGTAAAAAAAAATCAAAATAAATAAACAAATCTGAAGTCAGTCGTGCGCGCCACAAAACCGCGCCTCGCAACTTCAAGACAACGACGTAGCGCGCACAGCTTTTTCTTATTCATACACACATACAGTGTTTACGTATGTAATATAAGGATCATTGATTATAGGAAGCCAATCTGTTGTTTTTTTTTTTTTGTTTTGATTTCTGTTTTAGTTTTTCTTCTTTATATCACGTTATGTGGCGCGTCATGCGCTTTATCGTTGAAACGGAAACGCACCGGCAGTCGATTTCAAAAGAAGCGCAAAAAAGATCGAACAACTGATCAATCGATTGAATGAGTTCGAACGGCTGCTCAAATAAAGTGTTGGTGCGGCTTGCCACGATGTAACATACATATACAAGTATATGTCTTGGCTGAGTGAAGGTGTGATTGAGTGAAGTAGTCACAATTGATCGGCGGCACAGCTGCCGCGTACACACTGACAACCAGCTGCGGATGAAAAATGATGGATGTCAATAGCAGTTCGTTGTCAAAGCTTCGTATAAATAAATAAATAAATGTTAGACATATGTTTGTGATGAAATTTTTTCAGATCTCTTGAATTCGATCGTTGTTGACAGAAATGAAGTGATCTGCTGTGCGAACGAAATGATCTATAGATGTGGCAATTCATTCAGTCAGACGATGGGAGAAAGGGTCTGATGGTTCAGGGTGGTGCCCAGCTGTGTGTTTACAGTAGAAATTTGGTCGTCCAGAGATATGCTAAGAAAGAAGCGAATAGAAGATTAAAAATTCAAAATAAAAATTGTGTGACCCATAGGATTTTTTGTGTATGAAGCAAAAAAAAACAAGTAATAGGTAATTTTATATAGTGGCAGCAAGAATGAATGAGACTAACCGCTAGTTCAATTCTATTTAGTTTGGAATATAGCCAATTACAAGATAGAAATCCTCAATAGCGAACACTTTTGAAAGCAATGCTCGTCTAATCGGACCGCAGTATTGGTTATTCGACATTTTCTCATTGCCGTACTGATCACATAAACTGGATGAAGTCGAGGGCTCGCAAAATTTTGACGGCTGAAACGATATGCTTACCTTATTAATGTCCCAATCAAAACACAGCACGCCAGAAATTTTTGTCTTAAAAATGATCTTTTTAGAATCGTGATTTGTTCGTTCAAATGCATGCGGTATCAGTTTGCTTCTTCAACTAGGGTGGTTGAAATTTTGAAACGCAAGCGGTGCTACAACAACTTTAAGCCGTTTTGTAGTAATAATAAAATAAAAAATAAAAATGTTACAGAACTGCGATCACTAAAAGATCCATTAGCTGCTACAAGTGATATTTCGAATAAATCTAACGGTATTAGAATAATTATAAGGCAGCTATAACGCATATTCGACTGAATTGAAATGAAATTTTAAGCCAACCCACTATGAGATCGGCGTTAATTAAGATTAAAATTATCACAACATTGATGACGAGATCATTGATTATCGAACTAGAATATTCCTGTATTAGAAACGTCTGGCAAAGACACTTTTATACGTACACTTTAGTACACATTAGTGCCATGCAGAGATAGTAAAGTAGTTTATTGATAAAGATTGGCGGAAAACACATTTTCATTGATCAGCGATCACTAATCTACACACATCATGGACAGTGTAGATAAATGAACATATTTATACTTCGAATAAGCAATGTGAATAAATACATATGTATGTACGCAGGTATGACTAAATGTCTACGTCATACGCATTCATTCATGATGGCTGTAAAAACGTCATATTAAACAAACCAGTTTATCAAATGCGGTCATTAAGTGATCGCACGAACGTTGTATGTGTGATTGTATGCATATGTATGTAGATATGTGTATTTTGTATGAGCATTGAAGTGATCGTAATACAAAGCATTGGTAGAGTGTTGATAAGTAAAATAAAGGTGCAAAAGCTTTGCTAATTCTCTTTATTATTTTTTTTTTTTAAATCATGGATTGTCCATATGTATGAATGTACACATGTCAGTTTGACTCCGTTGATTGATGTTATCAGACAGCCTAGCGCGTAGTTTATATATCTACCAACACATATATATGTATTTATGTATAACTGTTTGTATTTACTCAAACTAAATGACCTAAACAAACATTATCGCGACGATAATCTCACTGTCAATGCTGTCTAATGACAAAGCTGCAAAAATATTGTCACCATCAGCGCTGTATATGAAGTGTTCTTCAGATAGATACAGGTATCTCTCCACTTTTATGCGTTTGTTTGGAATTTTGTACCCTCGCAACATGCTACATGGAGTATAAATATTTTTTTGAAATTAAAAAAACAAAAACTCGATGAAGTGTTATGTATGTATAGATACTACATTGCTCAGACTGACAGAACGAAAGCGAAAAGAGTTGAACCTGAAATGGGAGGACGACCACGCCCGCAAAACGGATTATTGCACAAGCGGTCACATAGATAAGGAAAATACACACATGATTGAAAAAAAATAAGAAAAACCGTTAACATACCAAACTATAATACCATTCGCAGGTGCATCTTCTATAGCATGAAAAGGTATAAAAAAAATCTTTGTATTGAGTTTGATCGGTTAGTATGTATGACAGCTATATTCTACAGTGGTGCCATCTTAACTATATCTTTTGAGATTGTACCGCTGTTTTGGACAATAATACATATCAAATTCATACACATATCAAGAAGTTATCTTGTCGAATAAAAAAGTTTTTCATACAAGAAATTCATATTCATCGCTCAGTTAGTGTGGCAGCTACATATATGCTATAGTGGTCCGATATCGCGGACGGCGGTTTTGACGAATGAGCTGCTTATTGGGAAGAATAGCATTTGTGCAAAATTTGATATCGATATCTGAAAATCTGAGGGACTATTACACTTATATACAGATGGACAGACAGACTAACGCGAGTCAGCTCGTCAAGCTGATCATTTATATACATACATATATAATTTATAGAGTCTCCTTCAGAATGTTACAAGCTTCATAATAGTATTCTTCGAGTTTCCTAAACGAGCGATAACTCTCTACTGAATAAAGAACTAGTAAAACGGAAAATTTGCTATTCGATAGTCATATTAACAATACTCCCATCTTAGTCAAAAATTTATAATGTCCTTTTATCACTGCTTAAAAACCCGTCTATGCCATTCCCTGACTCTCATACTTGTATAGTAAATATGAGGATATATGTTCTTTTGTTGGATATATGCTTTAGTATATGAAATATCATAATAAAATTAAATAGAATTTTTACTTTTAATGGAATGACCTGCGGTATCAAAAATGGCTAAGATCTGTGCACATATTTACCTCCCTCAGCAAATATGAGTACGTTAGGTCGTTTAATGAACGTAACGCTGCATATTTACTTTAGCAAATAGCCAACTAAAACTACCATGGGCTCAAAATTTCAGCTGCAAACGAATAGAGATCGTCCCTAATAATTATCGATAAATATCTTCAATAATTACTGCCAGATGAGCTTAACATATATATAGTTAGGTATATAAAAATAGTATGTATGAATAAAAAACTTAACTTTCTTTCATACTTCAAATCTTACATTCAAATACAAATACATACCTACATATTTATATTGCTATTAAGAGAGTATTTTGGTTTAGAAATTTCTAAAAATCGATTTTTTTGGTCCATATTATTGTAGTATTGTATAACATTTTAAGAATATGTCTCTAAAAATAGTAGCAAATATAAGTATATACATGCATACATGTATATATTTTAAAGAACATTTTATATTTATAGCACACCCTAGTATACGAGTATGTATGTCAATAATATTATTATTTTAGCTGTTATAGTCATTAGAAAGCTTCTATCGCAACTTTATTTATACAATGCTTAGTACTATTTGATAAGAAATTATGAGCACACATACATACATATCTATGTATATATGTATGTAAATATGTTTGTATAAAAATTATGTGAAAAGAACAGAAAGCCACCATTTAAAGGCATTTGCATCATTTGTTATTTTAGCGTAGTTCAATAATATGTTCAGCTGTGTTATCTGTTTGCTTTTTTATTAATAATCATACATACATATGTACATACAACTGTGTGTATATAGTATGTACATTTAAAATATACATATATATGGCTAATTAATAGCTATATACAGTTAGAAATTAAAATACACTAGTTAATATTTATTTATTCAGGGTATTCCCTGGTTTCAAATAACTTTTAGGTTATGTAATTTTTTCTATGAATCAAAATTGTCTTGAGACATTTAAATAACTTCTATTTAAATTTTTTGGATAAATTTCACCGTTATACTACCAATGATGGGTCACATAAGTTTCAAATCGCCGCTCAAGGCTGATTGATTTATTTTTATGCGAAATTTTTAATTTTTAGTAGATCAATATTTAAATTTAAGATAAGTGCAAGACGCTTTACGATACATTTGATGACTGAGAAGTGTTCGAGCTTCACAAAAGTATTTTCTTTAGCTGTTCAAGTGTGATCCGCCTCTCTTCAACAATATATTATAAGAGCCTAAGGGCAACTAATAGATAAGTTTATCCCAGGTGAACTCAGAACACTTAAAGTGGTTATCTGCACTTTTGAAGTTTTCAGTTTTAATAATAAATCACCTTAAACGGCACTCAAAGGTGAGGTTATGTTCACATTTTACGACTTAAGCCCTAGATCTGGCCTCCGAACGAAATATCTATTTGCGTTGTGTTTATGTATCTCATTTTCTGTATTGGATCTGTAGCATTTGGAGTGAAGTCAGCACAGATTTTTAACGTCTTACGACAACCAAACTACTTTTTAAGACTACAACAACAACTTCATCTGCTACCTGGTACAATTTGTTCTTTGCTGTGAACATCGTCGTAAATAATCGAAGCAATACTAAATATGTTCACTTTGTCTGGCAGCTATAATTATATATAAGTGTGAAAAAGTCAGACATACATACATAGCCGAATTTTGTGAATGAGGGCTCTAATTATCTCTTTTACAAAAGCAACATATACAAGTATTTTGGTAAGAATCTGCCACAGTGATTTTGTTCATGTTCAAACATCAATCAAACTGTACTACTCTATTGATCGTTGGGTACTGTTGAGAGGCTCTGCTATCTCTCTAATGCTAATATGATTATTTTCGAGCGTATTTTTTTCATCTTTTTGATAATAATTACTAAAAATCGATGGAACTGACGCATGAGACACGATTTAAGGTCAAATTTTGGTAATTTGTTTCTTCATTATTAAATCTTCAAAATACTTTTGTATGTATCAAGGACATTTTTTTTATAGTATTTTTTTTTATAGTAGTAGGCGAATAGACGAAGTCTTACCACTGAGAGGCTCTCTGAAAGTTGTTATTAAAAAATGCTAGTGTTTTATAGACAGTTAACTTTGCGAGTTCATGTTCTAATTAGGTTTTGAGGTCCATTAGCAATTTTGAGTTCCACTGCTATCTCTCTGATGCCAACACGACGATTATCAAGCACTGTTACTTTAACTATGAAATCACAACTCGTTTTACATTTTTTTGTATGGTAAAAATAGCCAGACAAACTTTTCGCGTCGTAAACAACCAGCTACCACACTAATTGATCTATACATATGTACATACATAGAGCAAACTTCGCACGAACATAAGAAAAGTTTTTACCAATATAGTGAACCATTTCTTAACGATTCGTTTTACACAGGCAGTTTTAATGGCGCAGTCCGGGTCAAGTTTGATCATATAAGAAAGTGACGAAATTCAGCTCGCTACTACTTTAAATATCTCAGATACAAAATTTTATTTTTACTTTTCACAATTACTGTGTCC